TAGGTGATAATAATGATGATGACGTTCAAATAAAAATATGTTCAAAAGTGAGGCACCACAAATAGGGTTTAATCCTTCACTTCATCATAAAAAAAGATAAAAAAAAAGAGTAACAGCACGACACAGATATAAACTGTATATTGTAAACATACACAGGTATAACAGCTAGAACGCTGAAGAAGAAAAAGCAAGGAACAAGCATTATATTTGAGTGAGCTAAGAAAACACGAGAAACACGCACAAATACACATACATGCACGTTTTCTTTTTTGTTTTCTTTACGTGCGCAACATTCCTACTTCCTGCAAGTTGGTTCGGAGACCATTCCTATGTATGTATACATGTACATGTACAACATGTGCGTGTAATGTGTGTGTTGATTATATCTTTTTTTTCTCGTTATAATATCGGGTTTGTGTATCTTCATTTCTTCTTTTCGTTCCTCTAACAAGGCGTTTGTTTATTTTCTTTTTTTTTTTTCTTTTTTTACCCCCTCTCCACCATTTTTTTTCCCTTCATATTTTTCTTATTCAATGTAATCACCATACCTAATTCTCTGCTGCAATCTTTTCAAGAATAATCCGTGCAAGTGCATCTGCTGGTGGCACGGCACCCCTCTGCAACTTTGAGTAAATGAGTGTATCGTCAAGATACACCTCAAACGCACCGGACTGGAGAAGATTCGCCCCGATCATATTCAATAGAAATCCCCCGGCAATAATCATCCCACGATGGTCCGTCACCCACGCCATCACGGCAGGTGGAAGCACTGAACTAAAGTACGGTGCCGCAATTCCAAGCGCGAGGGCAGTGATAAAACCAACGGAGCAGAGGGATGCGATGAACTGACGTAGTGGACCTACGGGATACACAGAATCCTCAAATACAAGGATTGGTTTTTGCTGTTCTTTCTCTTCTTCTTCTTCTTCTTTTGTTGTGGCTTCTTTTCTTTGTTTTCGTTTTTGTTGTTGTTGTTGTTGTGGTTGCTGCTGGATAAGAGATGGCGGCAGACTACGTGAGAGATGTCTTACCATCTCCTCGTAGTGCCGCCGGTATCCTCATCCGGAGCAGTACAACACACGGAGTACATGTTGTGTAGGCCGTTGGGCGGCAGTTGCCTGCACTTTCAATGCGAGTTCCTCCTCCCGCTCGAGTTGCACCAATGCTTGGATAAGTTCCTCTTTGGTGCGGAGATGATGGAATGGCTGTCGCTTCTCATGAAGCATTTGCTGAAGATCCTCCACCTTTAGCATCGCAAGATATTGAGAGGAGGTATCTGCATCCACATTACCTTGTTGGGGATGGGCAGTGGGATCAGCGGCGTTGACGGACATAATGGCTGATGGAAAGGAGGAAAGTACTAACAGCAAACATAAAAGTAATGATAGTGGTAGTGGTAGTGGTAGTACAGATACAGCTGGGGTGGTATTCATTCCCAGCAAGTGATCACTCTATATACACTCACACAGACAGAGAGACAGACAGACAGACAGAGAGATCTGTTTTTTCTTTTCCCCCCTCTTTCTCTCTTTCTTTCAATCTTCTCGTTTCTGCTGGTGTGGCAGATATGTGAAGAGGAAAAGAGGAAGAGGGGGAGATAAAAGGGTTAAAAGGTAGAAGAATCTACGATCACTACACTTTCTATATCTACAAAGAGAAAAATAAAGAAAAAAGACATATATATATATATATAAACAGTTAAGAATTGTGATTTATTATCGCAATTAATGAAAACCTCAGTATAAAAAAAAATTCATTTTCACGTTTTTTTTTTTCTTCTTCAAGAATTTTCCTTTTTAAAACCAAAGACCTTCTCTATATAAATACGAAAAAGGAATGGAATTCGTGAAGCATAAGTACTACTAAAATAAATAAATAAATAAATAATAATAATAAAAACACACGTAACTCTTACTTAACATCGTGCATGTATCTCTATCAGTCTATCTGTATCTATGTATAAATCAATAATTCATTTATTTCGATCTGCATTCTTCTGTTGCTACTGATACCTTCTTCCCCAAGGTTATTCTCTACTCAGTCTTACATCAAAGCTAAGAATGACATAAGGGGGAAAAAAAACATCAACATCAACAAGATATTTTTTTGCTCTTTTACTTGAACCATTGATATATTTATGAATATTCACTATCACTTGTGGAATCTTATTCACCTTTTTATGCTCTGTCAATTCTTCTGCAAGAGGATGTAGAAAACAACAAGAATAACACCAATAACAATATCAAACATATTATATATATACATACATATATGGGTGTTCGTACATCATTAATTCAATATTATAGATGTTATGATTGCTGTTCATCCACTGTTACAGCCAGTAGCGGCCGCTGATCAATTTTTTCAAAGAACTTCCGCATTTCTTCTGCCCACGCATCTGCCTTAATCCTCCGTAGTGTTTCCTCTGCCTTTCTCTGACTCTTCTGACTCATCGGCACTGTCTCATGCACAACACCAATATCCCCACTAGCACTCTTTTGGGAATTCGCAGGTTCATCCACATCATTATGGTTATAAGCATTCCTATGAAGCTGATTATTATTATTATTAGTGGTAGTGAATAGTCGTCGTGCTTCTTGACTACTCGCCACTACAACAGATGGCGGTGAGATGGAGACAGAGGACATGGATGAAGGTGCCACTCGCTGCGCAAACGATGATGGACGACGTGATAAGGTCAAACGCATCACCGCATCCGCATCCATATCCACATCCTCTCGTACACTTTCCACCGTATTTAATCTCTCCTCCGTAATAATATTGTTATTATTATTATTATTATTATTATTATTATCTTCATTCTCTTCTTCTTCTTCTTCCTCCTCCTCCTCATCATCTACCTCTTCAAGAGCTGGCCATAATGGTGTACTTGGACTTGGCAGTGTATATCCCGGCCGCACGGGTAACTCACGAGATTCCGTTGCCGGTTCCATCATTGGCAATTGCGGCTGTTGTAATAAATGCGGCATGCGTCTCAATGGTGTGGGTGTCACTTCTTGTAATTCTTCTCCTGTTCGTATATTATTATTATTATTATTATTAGTAGTAGTAGTAGTAGTAGTAATAACAGTGGCTGCTGAACTTGCGGGAAGTGTACCACTTCGACGACTTCCCTCATGCATTGAAAGACGTCGTCGAACTGTTACTGGTGAAGAAGAGTCACTCCATCCTGTTGGACGTGGGACACGTGCGGTGAGAACCGTTGATGGTGTTGAATTCTTTTTCCCCTCTTCTCCTTTTTCTTCTTTTTCCTGTTCGTCCGCCTCTTCTTCACCCCATACGAGATCAATAGACATTTCACTACTCTGTCGCTTTCTTTGCAGGAATTCCTCTTGTTGTTGATGTTGTTGTTGTAGACTATCGGAAGTCATTGGTGAGACCCAGGTGAGAGTACTGTTGTGCTGTGGTGTTGAGGAATTGGTATTAGTCGTTCTTGTTGCGGTTGAGAGTCCACCACCACTTGTGTGCATTTCATTACTGCTATCGAGACTTGTCATCATGGTGTGTTTTCTTTCAAGTTCGTAATTTGGTGCTGGCCATGTACGTCGAGTGGCTGTGAGTCCACAGTGTTCCAATGCATCATCACTGTTTTCCCCACTTGAGGATCGGCGGTTCATTCCACTCATGTGGATAGATTAGGATTTCTCTTTTTTCTCTTTCTGTTTGTTTAATATGAAAATCACTCTCTTTTTTTTTTCTTTCTCTTTCTGCTCTATTACGCTGTTGTATATGCTCTACAACCACTGAGTGGTACGCTAGCAATAGTTATTATTAAGGTGTAAAAGATGATATAAAGAAAGAAAAGAACAAGAAAGAAAAACTGTCAACAAGGAGAGAAAAAAAAAAAAAAACAACAGCATCATTATCTATTTGTTTTTCTTTGTTCCTATAGATGCGGCAATAGTAACTACCACCACCATCAATTTCTCAAACCTCTTTTTTTTTTTCTATTTCGTTATCTTTAAAAAGCTATCATATATATATGTAGAATATCTTGTTAACCGTAGAGTGTAAATATATCCCATCTCTCTCTCTCTCTTTTCACCATTGCTTTCAATGAAAGGAAGGAAGCAATTACTTACCATGATGATCCTCTTCCTCTTCCTCTTCCTCCCCCTCTACCACGTCCTTCACGACGTTGCGGAGGTCCACTTCTTCCACCTTCTTCATACCGTGACTTCTTATTCATATTCATATCCTGCCCAGCACCTGCAGCATGCATACGCTTATTATGTCTATTCCCATCATTTCCACGGTGTTGTTGTTGATGATGTTGTTGTTTCCCCACTACTTCCTTCTTATCCTTATTATTATTATTATTGTTAGTATTATTATTATTATCATTATCATCATCATCGAGTGTGGCTCGCAGTCGTCGCAATCCGCTCTGCACAGCTGCCGCCCACTCCCGCCCCGCATCTTCAGACATTTCCGTATCCACCAGTGAAGTCCTCTTCACATCGCCATACCGCCGTGAACGACGGCCGGAGTCCAACACCCGCACCCCACCACTACTAACACTAACACTACTACCACCATTCCCACCCACTCTCGATCTCTCTTCATGACCTTCACCGCTGTTGTTGTTGTTGTTTCCATTATTATTATTTCCTCCTCTTTTCCACCCACGTCGTCCCATCGCCCGGACGCGATCACGGCGATTCGCCTCAGCTGTGAGATACGCAGCGTAGCAGTTCATTGGAACTAACATGTTTAGCTGTCGGTCATCGCGGGCAAGGATCTCCTCCACACTTAACGTAAAGTCTTCTGGTTCCACATTGCGGTACTTAAAGCGGGCCTTTAGTGTACCACCATCTAATGTAGATTCATGATGTAATTGGAGATACTCCTGTTCCTTCTGTTGCAGTTCTGCCTTTAATTGCTGCAATACACCCGCATTCTCTTCTCCTTCACCACCATCCTTATTCATTCCATGTTGTTGTTGTTGGATCATCCGTTCAATCTCTCCACGACGACCTTCAAAGGAGGCCTCCTCTGCCGCACGCATGACTGCGGATGGATACAATAATGCTAGTGGATCATCATCAAAGACATCACCACCTATTCCTGCAATTTCTTGTTGTTGTTGTTTCTTTTTGCCTTCACCATTTCCTGTTGTTTTCGTTGCCATCATGGTCATGGCATCCTGCAGTGAAGCAGCCTTAAATAACTCGGGTTCATCCTCATCCTCATTATTTTCCTCTTTTGCCTCTTCATCCTCATCCTCATTATCATCTTCACCGTCAGACTTTACAACCTCTCCAGTACCATCTTCTTCATCCTCGAAGAAGGCCATCTCTTCTTCGTCCACGTTCTTCTCATCATAATAGGCGTCGTCAAAGATACTCGCCATTTTCTTATCAAACTTCTTTGGATCAAAATCTTCCTCCAAATCCTTCTCACTCCAAAGAGCCATAAGACGTTTCACCTCTGCATCTTCATCCTCTTCCTCCTGGCTTTGCTTCTTACGCTTTGCAGCATTTCCAACACCACCAGCACCAGCACTGCTATCCTTACTGGAATTCTTTACAATACCAGCAACAGAGGCGATAAGGGCACGTTGAGCTTCAATCTCTTGTCGTTTCAATGTCTTGAGTCGACGCAGCTCTGCCACTTGCTGCTGTCGCATTTCTTCCATTCGCTGCAGTCGTCGTTGTCTGGCTTCTTTACGGGCGGAGTTAACACTCTTGCGTAGTAAACCTGCTGCATGTTCACCAATAGGACGTGGGAAAGACTGAACGTGCTCTGCCGCTTCCTCTTGATGACGATAAGCACGCTGCTGGTATTCACGTTCCCACACTTCGGCATCCGCATAGAAACGTTCATCTTCTTCCTCTTGCGCCAATTGCGCCAGTGAGGCATAGTTATTTCCAATTTCTTCACTGGTACTGCTTTCATCATCATCATCATCATCATTATTGGTCTTTGATGAGTCCCGTTTCTTGGGTTCTTTTCTTTTCTTATTATTCTCTGGTTTCCATAACTCTTCTACGAAAAAATCACGTAAAAATGCCTCATCCGGATCTTCTTCCGCTGATGAACTACCTTCAGCTTCCTTTATAGCAAAGGCACCTTTTAATAACCGTTTAGCTGAATTTTCTTTATTGCTGGATGTCTCTTGCTGTTCCTTCTTCGATGGAATAGGTGCAACTGGTTGAACATCAAATGTCTCTGTACTTTCTGCGATATTCTTCAGGAAAGCATCACGAAGTTCACGTTCCTTTGCAGATTGTGGTTGAATGCGACGATTCCCTTGTGGGTGATGATTGGGATCCTCTTCATCTTCTTCTTCCTTTGCAGCCTCTGAGACGACTCCACGGCGGTATTCATCCGCGAGGGTAAACTTTTTTCGTTCCTGTCGCTTTTTAACAATTGCCTCTTCAAACACTTTTGTGTTTTCACGCACTTGTTCCTCTGGAGGTGGGAAGAAAACAGCCGTCGGTGCCTTCAGTGGATCTTCTGTATTATCAGTATCTGTTGTATTATCATTGCTATCACCTTCATCCTTACCATCTTGCTTGGAGTTGGATTTCTTTCCCTCTTTTTGTTGTTTCCTTTTCGCTTTAGCGGCGGCCTGACGAATGGCGAGAAATGCTTTAGCGAAGGCCATTTCCTTTTCTTCTGTTAACAACACCGCTCCATCATCTTCTTCATCTTCCTCATCCTCTTCATCATCTTCTTCACCAATGCGGAGTTTTTTACCATATTTCACTGTAAGCTGCTGGAGCTCCTTTTTTCGCTTGACCTCCTCGTACTTGGCTGCATACGCCTTGTTAATACGGATACCACCATCATCCTCATCCTCCTCATTATCATCATCATGACTATTAGTTTTATTATTATCTCTTTTCTTTTTGTTTTCATGCTTCACATCTTTTTTATCCTTCTTGGATACTGTCACTCTCTTATTATCATTATCCTCATCATCATCACTATCACCATCACTGCTACTGTCACTGCTTCCCACGGCATTATCATTCGATTTGTTTATAGACATGATGGGCGCTATTTCCTTTTTCTTCTTATTCTTCTGATTGGGATCAAACGGTGTGTAGGCGTGCGGATCACGACGCCGTTCACGTGCAGCAGCGGCAGCCATTTGTTCTGCCAACACATCATCATCACTGTCGTTTGCGGATGAAGAAGAGGATGATGAGGAGCCGGCGAAGAGATCCTTCTTTTGCATCCTTTCTTTTTTTCTTTTCTTTATCGTTCTCTATTTCTTTCTTTATTTTCTGTTTCTTACAATGTATATTTGTTTTGTATGCCTACCTTGTTTTAATTTTTAGTAGGTCCACACCAAAAAACTAAAAGAAAATAAAAAACAAACAACCGCTGCGCCCAACAGAGAATATCCACTTTGAGGTGTTAGGTAATAAATACGGGATTATGCGATCAAAAGAAGAAAAAAAAAAAACAAAAACAGAAGAGAAAGGAAGAAATGAAAACATTAAGAAACAAGCACTAAAATTAAAGAGCGAATGGACACGGAACACTTTAGAAATAAAAGAAATACCCAAACATTTTCACGCAAGAAAGGAAGAAAAAATCAGAAGCGGCAGTAACACACATCTAGAAACAGAACTCCTTTACACACACACAGGGAGACAGAAAGAAAGAAAGAGAGAGAGATGGGTTGCTCTCTAATACATCTCGCTCTTTCCTTCTTTCTTTCCTTCGCTGAGGGTTTATGTATGTATGTATATATGCGGGGGAAGAACCTCCTTCTTGACAACAGTGAATTATATATATATATATAATTCTCTCTCTTTTTTTTCTTTTTCTTGTTCTTCTTCTATTGAGATGAGACTACCACTACTACTGCTGCTGCTGGTGATACCCCACCAGACCAATCATGTATTAGGTTGAGGCATTCCTCACCAACTTCTATCTATCATTTAACCGCACCCACACAGCCATATAGAATCCAAGTAATTTATCAATAGCTGTAAAGTGCAGCGCCGTAAAAAGCGGTGAGAGAGATGCGATACTTCGTAGCATGAGTTCCGCACTTTCCATCGCTAATGCTCTATTCCCAAGATTCGTATCCGTATCAATACTATTACTATTCGTAATATTATTATTATTACCATCATTTTTGAGTTTCTGTTCTGCCTTCTTTACGAGTGCACGAATACCGGCATCCTGCGAGGAACAGTTGCGAATACTTCCACTCACCATACTCACCTCATGTCCAATAAAGTAACCCATACTCCGCAATATCTCCACTATTAACACACCACTACTCTCTTCTTCTCCACTAGCATTATAGTTTTTATCACTAAACCGGAGAAACTGCAGCCATGCATGCCAAGTAAGTGGTGTATTAGGGAATCTATCGTATACCGTGAGAAGTCCCACACCGTGAAGGACGGCACGATTGTATAACATGTGTGCAAGAACTGTTAATGGATGTTGGACCATACATTGTGCAATGAGAGAGGCGACAACACGGTACATAATAGCTCGTACAATAGCTCTTTCTTCTGCTTTCTTTGCTTTTCCACGACGTTCTTCTCTTTCTTTTTTCTTTTCGGCTCTACTCTTTTCCCGAGTACGACCACTAGTGATGATACTACTACTATTATGGGTTGCATGATGACTATGATCTTTCTTACTTTCCTTATTATGTGTAGCCCGTTCATTTTCACTATCATCTGTGAGTGGATTAGATTTAGATGAATGGTGAGATTCTTTCTTCTTTTCGGATGAGGATGAACGATGTCGTTTATGTGAGTGATGACTACGCTCTGTTGTTCCATTTTCATCTTCACTGTTCACATTACTTCCACCTATTTCTTCTCGACTGCTATTGTGGCTAGTATTTCTACTGTGTTCTTTTTCTCGTCGTCGTTCTCGTTTTTCCTTCTTCTTTTCTTCTCCCACAATCCCATTGTCGTTATTCTTACTCTTATCCCCTTCTTCCTCCTCCTCCTCTTTCTGTTTCCTTTTCTTCTTTTTCTTTTCATCATCCTCATCCTCATGGCTGTTCTTGTTGTTCCTGCTCCTGTTGATCTCACTCACATCACCATGATCGTTATCCTTCTCTCCAACAACACTCCCATCATTATTATTATTATCATTATTATTATTATTATCCACACTATCTATATCCATATCATCATCATCATCATCATCGTCTTCCTCTTCTTCATACTCCAAGGCTTCTGTGGCATATCGTCGAAGTAGTAAATACTCCGCGGCATCAAATACCCGAACGACTCCACACTGACAGAGTTGCACAGCAACGGGTGTAAACATAATCTCCAACACAACACCCGCACAACCCACCGCCCCTGCGGCAATAATTCCCGCCGGTGTATACTTTAATACTCGCCACTCCTGCACATTCCCTTTACGTGCAAGTAACATACAGGCAACCGTACTGAAGGCAATAGGATCTGTGATGGTGTGTGCACTTATCGTGAGAGCCCAGCCAAAGGTGTTCCGCCACGCCCGGCGACTGCGAAGACTACGTACAACGAGATTTGTCTCAAATAATAATCGTTCCTTTATATATTGTTGAATAGCCCGCAATAACACACGTGTAATGGTGAAGGAAACCACAACGCCAGAGGCAAATACAGCATCTTCACTAAACCACAAGAGAGAACGTGCATGATTGTTGAGATCTGAAAATTGAAGTAGTGGTAGAGTTGCCACATCTGTTTTATATTGACACAAAAAGTGTAAAAGGGCAACAGGAGTGGCTCGTAAAATATGTGCCACTACACGTGCTTGTTTCGTAATATCTATAGATCGCCAATCTCGCCAGCGATTTGTTGTTGTTGTTGTTGTTGTGATTGTAGACTTCTCACGTCGTGCGTGTAGACCGCCACTGTGACTGCGACTGCGGTGTGGCACTTGCGGGGGTAATTCCCCACTTGCAAAGGCAGATGCATTTAAACTTGTGTTTACAGAAGGTGGCTGACTACTACTACCACCACTTCTACGATGATGATGACTACGATGACTACGATGACTACGTTGATCTTCTTGATCTGTTTCTCCTCCTTCCCCATCCTCTTCTCCTGTTCCTCTTCTGCCTCTGCGTGAGGATCTCTTTATACGCTTACGGAGAAATGTCTCTGGGATGAAAGAGAAGACGGCGACATTCAGCACATCATACAAGAGCCAAGCAATGTTAATGGGATGCATAACATCATTGTACAACATGGTTCTTACTCAGTAATAATAATAATAATAATAATAATAATAATAATAATAATAATAATAATAAATAAAAGGCCAGACCTACAAGGGGGATAATCACTTTCTCTCTTTTTTCTTCTCTTCTTCTCAAACTGTGAAGGAGTGTATGTATGTATGTATATATGTATATAAATAATAATATGTGAATCCTCTTGTAATGTATAACTAACGGTCCCTTTTCACTACAATTCTAAAATGGATCTATGAATTTTGGTGCACGGAGCGTGTAGGTCTATTTCTCTCTCTCTCTCTCTCTCTGTGTGTATATGTGTGAGAGAGGGAATTATGATGATGATAGAAATAGTAATCACTCAATCAATCACTCACTTACACGCACACCAAAGGAGTGGCGGAGTGATAATCCACCCAACACAGTCCTATTCACATTGAAAAGAAAAGAAGAAAGAAAAATAATAGAGAGGAAAAAGAAGAGAAAAAGGAATGAAAGTAATGAATAGAATGAGAAATAATAAGCCCTAACAGGCGTACAAAAAATGAAATATAATCACAATAGCTTCACACAGAGAAATGCAAACAGAGAGATACAAACAAAAAAACATATATATATATATATATATATATATATATATAT